TTAAAAAATGAGACCATAAATTGACTACGTGGTTATTGGGTTACAAAATAAATTAATCTTTTAGTTATATTTGTCCTATTCAATTATAGATTCTGTATTTAAATTTTAACTCGTTACTAGTAATAGTGTGATATGAGCTACTTAGAGCCACATAAGTAGTATATAACGATGGTCAGGAATAGAATGTATTTTAATAGAAGATCGAGAAGGAAATAACGGAAACAGAAAGTAATTGGTATGAAAATGCATAAACAATGAAATCTAAGACTATTGACTGATATTTTTCAAATAAACTATTTACTGTATAGTTCTCAGATTTTAGTGAGATTTTCTGTAATTTAGTGCTCAAATACATTCAGTTGTCCTCACCTGTGTTTCACTTCACTACAGTAGTATTTGTATTATTTTTTTCTCCCATTGTTCTAATAGTTTAGGGTAACCACTCAAACTAATTTTTATCTTCACTAGGGTCCTATATTATCTATTATCTAACTTGGTTAAATAATTTAAAAATAATTTCATTATTAACCATAATGTTTCTTCGCCAAAATCACTCATACATATTATATTCATTATTACCCAAGATACACATACACATATATATACATGATTCTTAGTAGTTATCGTTTTTTTTTTTTGAAAATTAACAGACCAAATATAACAATTTTTACTTAAATTATATTTATTTGTTTATGTGATACAAATCCATCACCTCGTTTTATACGGAAAGAATATTTATATATAAGTGCTTGTTGTAACTGTGTGTGCATGTAGAGTGGTGGTGAGGGGAGATTGTGTAAATAAGGGTAGTAGCAAAACTGGAAAATTGAGAAACGATATATATATATATATATATATATATATATATATAAAGTGATAATCCAAATGTAAACTTTAGATTATCACTTTATTTATCGATTGACTGTATAATTTACAGTTTAGTTGTCCAGTTTATATTACTATAGATTGACGATACGTATACATATCAGTAAGATGTGATTTATAAACACAAGAATAGAAATTTAAACAAACAAACAAAATTCTAGAACAAACATCTTTATGATATTAATCATTAAAACTTATTTTTGTAGTACTTTTTTCCCAATCTCTTTTATATATTTATAACTGACTTTTAGAAATCTGAAATCATAAAATATTGTTACTGAGTACTTTACATAGATAAGCCTTAGTCAGGATGTGATAACTGTCGTTCTAAAACGATTATGACCTTGTATTTCCATCACCTTACTAAAGTATTTACTCTGGTTATTAAAGACTCTTCCATGCTTCCATTTTATGCTTCTCAGTTTATATATATATAGTTACAGAATGCATACCAATTCACAGGCATCAACAAGTCGATACAACATGAATATAACACTGACCACCATGGAAAACCTGATGAAGAACTGGTCTAGCTTCAATTGACTCATGATCGCAACTGTTGAAATATTGTTACTTACATAACAGATAAATGGACAAATAAGTAGACTGAAATATATATACATTCAGAATTCCAAATCGAATTATATTCAATAGGATTTCCATATTACGTAACAGATAACAAAGTATAAGTCAAAGTTTAAACTGTATTGAATACATAAGTAAAGTGTTAATCAATGTGAAAAAAAAAAACAGAAAAGGATTAAAGCATAAAATGTTAAACTGATGCTAAACATTTCACAGACTATAGTCAAGAAATTTATACTATTCTACATATTAATAATTTTTTAAATGGATATCACATCTAACATTGAGTTAATTCTAGCTTTTGTACAAAATTACTTCTCTACCTTCAATCGAATAGTTTATCAATAAAGAGCGAGATTTCATCATATGAAACACTTCAAACAACTTAAATGCCTTTATGTACACCATGTTTATCAGCTGATATACATCTCGCTATTTAAATTTTACGTTACCTTGAGATAAACAACTTATTCTAATCTATTCTTTCACTATACTGATATTATTGTTTTAAAACACTAAGAATAAATTGACAAATGATTTCACAAGAATCAATCAGTTAGTCTCTTACTCAAATTACAACAAACTATACAAATTCAATGAAATTTACATCTCATTCTTCATATTTTACAGTTGTAACCGTGAGTACTAACTCCACCTGGAGCCCATCTGAGGCTACTGCCGGTCCAAAGTCCGGATAAAGGAGGAGGGTTGGACATGGGGTTAATGACCTCACTAACTCGCTAAAAGAACACTAACCAGAAAAAAACAATTATTCAAACCATTTACTGTTGGAGGCCTATGCTCCATTGAGAGTAACACGTGTAAGTAAGTAACCATGAGTACTACTATGATTATTCATGTTTTCATTATAAACCAATAAATGTTCGTAAATATTTTGATTTACAATAGAAATGATTACTGAAAATTGTCAAATGTATTGATTCAGCTAACGGAAAAAATACAGACTAATGTTGTAACAATGCATGCATACAATAGAAAATAACTATACACATATATACATACATATATATATATATAATCTCCATTCATTTTGTTGATCATCTAATGATAGATTAACACAAAAGTTTCGAATAAAGAAATGCCAAAATATTAGAAATGTCAGTAAAAAAAATTTGATTTTTTTTTTCTGTAAAATAAACTCTTACAAGACAATAACAAATTGTACACGGGATTATTGTGTTTACATATAAACTGTAAATCAAATGATTATATATTTATGTATTAATTAGAATTATAATCAGTTCCTTAAGAAAAACAAAATGTGGTGGCGTTTAAAGTGAACGGTATCAGATTCGAGTCCCGGGGTATACATCAACTCTAAGATATAGGTATATCCAACTGACGAGTTCCAAATTAGATAAAACATACGTCCTGAACTTCAATACAAGCCATCATCCATCTTTGCTCAAAATATTGGATTTTGAATTCTCAAACTTTAAGTTTGTTGATACCCATTTTACCGGTTTCAAAACCATTGAGTTGAAAATTATATATTCCATATTTGTCAGTCCAAAGCAATACTCAAATAATTTATTTAGAAAATAGGAACGATCTAATACTAATCATTATATCCGTTATAATACACTAAACGTATTATGATTAGTTGCCGTGTTAAACAGATAATTTATTATAACAATGTCATCTATTCTAGTGTGTAAAACCTCGATAAGGAATTCAGTTTGATCTCGTCTTCATTGCATTTATTGATAAAAAGCTTGTTCGATAAGGGCCAACAAGTCGACAAATTACATATATATGTATACACTAATACTATACGATCCATAAGTAGGAGTGCTGCAACAAATTTCTACCAATTTTTTTATGAATATATTTATTTAATATCTACCATAAATGCTGGTCGGCGGCCTATACTCCATTGAGAGCAACAGGCGTAAGTAGGTAAGTAGGTGCCATAAAACAAAACGACTGAGATAATAAATAACAGTTTATTACATATTTTGGAATTGTTAGTTTCATTGTGAATTTTAAGGAAAAAAACAATTTTTTTCTATCTACGCCGTCATATCATTGTTACATTGAGAGATACTAAGAAAAGTTACCAGTACTTGAGTTGAGACCATAATTGATGGACAAACCAATCAGGTATAAGATAACAGATCTAGGACTTTGGTGTGACATGCATTCATCCATTTGTTTAAACAGAGTTTTGGCATTATATCTGATATCAGTCCGTGATGAAAACCCTCAATGTAATTTCTAACCTTAATCATCAACTCCAAATCATAATTCCTAGCTATCAAGTGGACACGCTCGAGGTTAGTCTAGCGTCACTCAGAGGTCGTTCATAAATTATAGTCTCATTGAACTTGATATTGTATTCATCTGCTACATGATAATGTTTACTATTTGTTGTGTCAAACGGAAAAAATAATGAATGTTATGATATCTTTTTATAGCTTTCAACTGTATAAATTTAACCAGATAGGCAAACCGATGATATATATTACCATGATTTATCTAATCTATAGAAAAGAATTAATTACAATATTAGAATTCAGTGAAGTTATCAATCTGTAGTAAATAGACTTGATTAATGGATTATTGTTCAACTTTTGAGGATTGATATACATTTCTTTGTATCAATGGCTTAGTACAACATGTTTTCATTTGAACATTAATATAGTCTGAAATCGATTTATATCATTCACATTAGGCAACATACCTAGGATGATATCGATATAAGTACAATTTTTTTTAAATGTTGACCTCAAAACAGTGGTCTAGGAGCTAAGTGTTCGCGTTCCGGGTTCGATTCCCACGGGGTGCGGGATCGTGGATGTCCACTGTTGAGGAGTTTCAAATTAGGACAAAACAGCCATCCAGTACGTCCAGATTTTCCATGGTAGTCTAGCTTCAATTGACTCATGAATTAGACTATAAAACATAAATACTTTATTCAATTAAAATAATACATAACCAGTATTATATTTCTACATTAATAATTAACTTACTTTGTGGGCATTACGTCTAAAAAATGCTTTACATGATTCACAAGTTAATTGACCAAAATTATGATTTACAGCTCGATCACCGCAAACTTTACACTTTTTCTCATTAGAATGATTATTGTTATTATTATTATTATTACTATTAGCATTATTAGTAACCAGAGTGTTATTACAATCAGTATGATTTTTCGATTTTAAATGTTGTTGGTGAAAATTCAAACCAGTCAATTTATAATCTTGATTTGTATAATATGAAGATGAAGGTGAAATGTTTGTTGTGGTTGTTGTTATTAATGATGATTTTGCTGTTGCTGGAGTTATTGTCAATGTTTCTGTGCATAAAACCATTGAAGATGACAATGATGATAATGATGAAAATGAAGAAGATGAACAAGAGGACGACGATGAAGATAATGATGATGATGTAGCCGGTGAATAATTTGGTTGAAATATTGTAGGATAAATTTGTAATGGAATTATATTTGTATCATAATGATGATGATGATTATTATTGACAGCAGTAACAGTAGTCTCATTATTATTATTATTATTGTTATTATTATTACAGTAGATATTATCAATTAAATCATTTGATATCACAGTATTCCAGATAAATGTTCAGATGTTTCAAAATGATTTGACTGTTCAACTAAAGGTTGCATCATGATAACATCATTATCACTGTCCTGAACATGAATATTTTCACCATCAGTCATGGTGGTTGACACAGTCTCGATTGGAACAGGCATAACACTATCCATTTCTGTATTATTTACTTTAATATTTGATAATTCATTACAATTTTTATTCATGTTCTCATTATTCTCATTATTAATTATTAATGGATAATTATTATTATGATTATGTGTTGTAATTATTCCATCCGATGTATAATGTAAATGTTCTTGTAATTGTATTTGTGAATGTTCTTGATTTAACCATATCACTGATTGATATGATTCAGGTATATGCTGTTGAATACATTTTGAATTGGAATATTGTACATTTGATAAATTATTTACCGTGGTATTTGATAGAAAATAATTCGATTCTGAAAATATTGATGAATATAATTCATTTTTTTGTTGTTGTGTTAATATATAATCACCTTGAGGAATTGGATTAGTTGAAATTTCATTAGGAATTATATTATCATTATTAGAATTGTGCAGTTGATCTGTTGATTGATCCATACCATAATGCTGATGTTCATGATGATGATGATGATGAAGATGATGAGATGGATGAGGATGTGAATGAAGTGGATTGGGAATTACCAAATTTGATTGTTCAAATGCATAGAAAGGATTATGACCAGGTAATTGTTGTGAAATATCATTGAATTGATTAGATAACTAATAATGAGAATAAGAGAAATATATAAAGTTCTTTTTTAAATATATTTGTTCCCCAACAATGAAAATAGTTGAGTTTAAAAAATATTAACCTTTTAATTATTTACTAACTATTTATATGAATGAATGTATTTAATGACGATTTTAGCATATATTGAGAATAAGTTTTGTCCTAACAAAAAACCGTAGTCAAGCTGTAAAACCATTGTATACTGAAGAGGTTTCTTCTCCGCTATTAAATCAGCATATTAAGAAATATTTAAGAGTATGCGCGAGGTGAGACAGTACATTGTTTTTATTTTCTGCGGTTTGCACCATAGATTGATCCGAAGTTAAACAACCTATGTATACTAGGAAGCACTGAATAACTGCTTCAGCTCAATACAGGACTCTTCAACAAAATAACTGCATGAACCATCAAAGATTGAACCTAGAACCGTCGATTTCACCCGTGAACACCTAACCTTCAGACCATTGATTCAGCACCAAATGGTTTACATTTTCAACTTCAGTCAACTCTCATTTGTAAGCAAAGATGGATAGTGGCTAGCAGTGGAATCCAGGACGCGCGTTTCGTCCTGTTTGGGACTCGTCAGCTGGATGTACCTGCATCTCAGAGTTGATGTTCACTCTGGGACTCGAACTCAGCAGCTAAGCGGATAACGCGAGGGCGTTTGAAGCGAACGGTACTGAGTTCAAGTCCCAGAGTGAACATCAACTCTGAGATGCAGGTACATCCAGCTGACGAGTCCCAAACAGGACGAAACGCTCGTCAAACTGGATTCCTTTGCTAGCCACCATCCATCTTTGCTTATAATGCTTGTAAATTAAGGCAATATCGAGGCATACTCACAGTATGCACATATGCCAATAAGAGACTGATCAATTTCAGTCCTAAAACATCGATGGGAAGATTCAAGTAAAACAATATCAAGTGAACTCTCATTTGGTTGGTAATTGCTACAAATTTTACTTGGCTAGACTTCATTAGTCACGGCTTCCCACAAGTACTAAACAACTATTCAGTACCTCTTAGTTTTTCATAATCATTCAATTAAGATCAATCTGTGATGTTAACTGTGAGATTTAAAAATCTCCGTAAATCCTTCATGATTATAGTAATTTTTTTTCGTCCTGTTTCTTCTGCCTTCACTTAAAGCATTTTAGCTGTAAATGTTAATGTGAATTTTGTGACGAGAATGAAATTGCCCCTATACTATACTAAGTAATGAATGAGATCTATTGTACCATTGAAGAAAAAAATTAAACACGTTTCAAATGAGAACAAGAAAATTTGTTTCCGACAATGTTTAACAAGTTATACTGTACAATACTATTTATAGTTAAGTTGTCTACTAAAATAGTAACCTTTTGATAAAAAAACAAACAAACAAAGAAGCGTTGAATATTGTCTTTAATCATTATTTTTTTTAATGATACAACATCCTTCTATTTTATTGTAAATTACTGTTACTTTTTAGGGCGAGACTATAATCTATGAATGAACCAATCAGGTATAAGATAACAGATCACGGATTTTGGTGTGACATGCATTCATTTATTTAGATAAATAGAGTTTTAACATTATAGCTAATATCAGTTCATGATGAAAACCCTCAATGTAATTTCTAACCTTAATCATCAAATGTAAATCATAATTCAAATTCCTCATACAAGTTTATAATGTTCATTTGGTTTTAGTAAGTAGGTAGATACTCTCAAGGTTATTTTAGCTTCGCTCAAAGGTCATTCATCAATTATAGTCTCACCTTGTTGAATAAATAAATTGACTAAAAATAGGAGTATAAATAAATGAAATTGATGAGAAGTTTTCCTCTCTGAATGAGTTCTATTTCTTACCACATTTATTATCTTCACAAAGGTGATGTTTCAGTTTTCTTATCACAAGTTGTAACCTGTAGTTGGTAAACATTTATCAATCTGAATATATAATATGGTGATATCGTCACAATATATTACTATTATTAGTTCTAAATTAATCAACTCAGTTTTCTTGTAAATATTAAATGACTTTTATAATTTTTCGGCATGTGAAATGTTTAAATAGTAATAATTGTTCCATAATGAATACTTTATACACAGTTTTGTGTAATGTCAATCTATCACTTTGTCACAGAGACTGCTTAATATATATTCCCTAGTCAAAATGTGATAACTGTCGTTCTAAAGCAATTATGACCTTGTATTTACATCACCTTTCCATGTTCCCATTTTACGCTTCTAAGTTTAGATATATATATAGTTACAGAATGCATACCAATTCACAGGCATCAACAGGTGGATACAAAATGAATATAACATTGAAAAAGAAATAAATTAAACCATATTATTTGAAAGATCAGACTTCATAAAACAATGTAATTAAACATTTATTACAATGATGTAAAGTAGAGAACACCGACAAAGAATTCATTGTCAATGATGACATCATTTAAGAGTCTTGTTTCAGTATCTGTTTATATACCGTAATAGTTATTAGTCTTGTTATTATATTAATTATCTTTAATAAGTAGCATCAAAAGAATGTTAGTATAGAAAGATCGTTGTATAATTAAAACGTTATAAACTGTTTGAAATGTTAGATATTAAACTTTATCTAAAACAATCTAGAACGCCAGTGTTATTCTAAATCTAATACTTTGTCTAGAACTTTCTAATTACTTAACAAACATATCACTAACGGTAACACCTTCTCACTAGAACTCCAGGAGTATCGCCTGAAGTCATTCACTAGTGAGCAGATGATTATTATCAGAAGGGGTTTGTGGAGATTTAAGAAATTTCACAGAATGAAATCATGAGTCAGTTGAAGCTAGACCACCATGGAAAACCTGAAAGCACTGGACGGCCGTTCCGTCCTAGTATGCGACTCCTTAGCAGTGCGCATCCACGATCCCGCACCCCGCGGGATTCGAACCCAGGACCTACTGGTCTGACTCATGATTTCAATCTGTGAAATTTCTAAAATCTCCACGAACCCTTTCTGATAATAATCATCTGCTCACTAGTGACTGAATTCAGGAGATACTCATGGAGTTCTAGTAATAAGCCGTTACCAGTGGATTTCAACCACGTCTGTTGTGAGATATCAGCTCACTGAAGACAATGGTGTACGGTGGCGCAACTTCTTGGATTGGTTGAATTTAGACATTAACACCATTGGATGCCGGCTCAGTGGTCTAGTGGTTAAGTGCTCGCGCGCGAAACCAATAGGCCCTGGGTTCGAATCTCGCGGGGTGCGGGATCGTGGACGCTCACTGCTGAGTAGTCCCGTACTAGGACGAAACGGCCTTCCACTGCTTTCAGGTTTTCCATGGTTGTGTAGCTTCAATTGACTCATGATTTCAATCAATGAAATTTGTAAAATCTCCACAAACCCCTTCTGATAAAAATCACTAATGATCAATAATGTTTCTAAATAGTAATTATTACTAACATGAAGTATGGTTTTTGTTATATGGACGTTTAAACTTTATATTTAAGGTTATTTGAATGAAAATTGGTAAATAAAGATTGAACCGCTCTATCATGTCTCAACTTCATTTGAAAACAGTTTGATGAAAGTATCATTTGAATTATTATGGTTATGAGATGAGATTTATCCCATAATTAATACTAACAATTTTTCTAAAAAACATTACTGTAATTTATGAAGATAAATTAAATATTTTGATAATTTTTATCATGACGCCTTTGCTCATGATGTCGTTCAGAAGAATGATGAAAGCTCCACGACTAAACCATCTAGCTTACAGAACAAAACTCCATCAAAATCATCCACCTGAGTTACAAATCTTCTCCATGGTCTCAAAGAAACAGACAAAATAATTTTGTCCATGTCTAAACCTTTTCAACAGTATGTGCACATGACCTAGCCAAAAATTTAACCCAGAAACTTATAGTCTTTGTGGTAAGTATAATTTTCAGTTACAAAACTTTTCATTAAATTATCAACCTCATGATGTTTTAGTATTTATTTTAATTCCCTACTCAAATTGTCAGATTCCTATTGTTTCTGTTTTGAAAAGTTCCAAATAACACAAAACCTAGGTTCACAATCTCCTGACAACTACCTCCAACCACCACATTGTATTGAAACTGTCATTATTCAAAAAATACTTTATAAATATATCCAAATAACTATCTGGCTATTACGTGTATACATTTTGGAAATATATTTTCCTATTTATCATACATAATCATTTCTAATGTAATTGCATACCGTTTCTATTGATAATGTCATCACTATTTGCATTCAGATTTACCAGTATTAAATTAATTCATCGGACCTTTAAAATAATCAGAGTGTACATACACTTAACTTTTAGAATGATTCTGTTCAAACAAATAGAAGATTGATAGTTTAATTGCATTATTTATACAATTGGAAATTAGATAGTCGAAATGTTTGACCAAATTACTGAAAAATCTGAATGGATAAATTCATAGGAGTTGGACACTGAGTTAATAGTAAAACATTTAAAAAGTCATTATTTTATTGAGAACATGAGCTGGTTAATAGTTATACACTAATGTGAACCTGAAATCGACGACCTGCTTGATCATTTAGGCTACCTGTTTCTGACATCTAGATATTTCAACAATTTGTCTGTTTTTGTTTGTTTCAACAGATCATTATGTTTATTAATCGTACAACTTTTTTAAGGTGGGTTTATGAAAAGTTTACAACCTTCTGCTGCAGAAGTTTTAAAAACGCTCAATCAGAGACATCGTGGTTGTTGACAATATGCAACGAAATGAATGTAGATTATTCAGATGTCATTTTCTGGACTGCTAATTTCTAGCTGGTCAGAATAAACCAAGAAGTAAGAAATGCAAACTTGTTGAAATACTTTGTACTGAGAATTATATATTGTACCAAAAATATATTATCGAATAAAGCTGATTATAACAAATGACTAGTCAGCTATATTATGGGACTTTGATAGCGCACCTCCACGACCTTGTCAGTGATAGAAGCTAATACCTTTAGTTTCACTCATGAACACTTAACCTATGAATTAGTAATCCTGAGTTCGGTAGTATACAAATCTAGATTCAGTTACTCCGTAGTATTTTGTGACTATCTTTCGTTATCTTCAATGCGTATCTTCTTCACAACTGACACGGTTGAACTATGGTTATCTAATTTAGATAAGTTTATAAAATTAATAAGTAACAATGTATACGACTTTCATACTGATTAATTGTTAACTTTAAGAAATCTTGAACCAAACTGTCCAATAAAATGTTACAGTGATTCTTTTTATTAGAATCACCGATATTTTAACAAATATGATTTCCTTTTTTAATAAAGCTACTAGAGTTACATTGTGTTGATGTTTCTCTTTTTTTTCTCCTAAGGTACAAAGACATAACTCAAATATGTATTCTTCAACTGTTCTCTTTTTTTTTAATCTTAAAATGTCATTTTTCTAGATGTGGTTCATAGAGTGCATTATATTAGTCTAAATCAATAAATGTCTTCTCAGTTTACAAGCCCGAAAGATGAAATCATTATAATAATCATAATATCGACAGAAATAAGTAAACAGATAAACATTATCATGCTAATTGATCAAAGTTTTTTTTTTAAAAAAAATAATAAATTCAATAAACCATATTAGTACATAATAGTAATGGTGTTTAATAATTGTTGCCTTTTCCATTTTGCTCATTCTCTTCACTTCCCTCTCCCTATTTAATCTTTATAACAAACATACAAAAAGTATGAGTTCACATTTAATTATATTTTTCCTTCTTAAGTTTACGTATGCACACGCACTTCTACTCACATTTTTAACATATTTTACTAATACAAGTGACTTGTTTTTTTTTATCTCAGTTACTCATTGTTATCAAAAACATTTTTTTCTAATCGATATCAATTTTTTTGTTGTTGTTGTTGTTGTTTATTCCACCAACCTTTATTGCACTCCAATGTTTTTTTTTCTCGAATAACAAAAAAAGAGGAGAACAAGAGAGGAGGATGAAGGGAGAGCAATGAATACAAAAAAAAAACACTTTATACATAAACAATCTATGATTCGGTGTAAGAAAAAAAATAATGTATAGTAAATATCATGAATAGTGGTCGGATTATTAGAAAATTTGTTTTTTTACTTGATAATGTTAGTGTTGGGTAACAAGGGGAGGGGGAAAAGGCAGGTCAGTGTTGGAAATAATGAATATATATTTCTATAAGTGCACTTTATCAAAGGAAACATCGACTAATTTTTTTATTAGAAGAAAATTAAAAATTGAGTACATTTTTAGTATATAAAAAATCTAAATTCAAGTATTATAAATTAAAATATTTTTTCAGTATTGTAACTGATAGTAGTAGTAGTAGTAGTGATAGTAGTGCTAGTAGTAGTAGTAGCAATAGTAGTAGCAGTAGTAGTAGTAGTAGTAGCAGTAGTAGTAGTAGTAGTAGTAGTAGCAGTAGTAGTAGCAATTAACGTGAATAGAAAACATATTGAAATTATATTTGATAAAAATACTTATGGTAAAGGTCTGTGAGATATATAAAAATTACATGTGAGAAAATCGTATTACATCAAATACAATTAGCATGACTGTAATGATAATAATATTAAGGCTTGTAGATTAAATAATTCAGCATCTTTTAGTAAGCTGAAACATTAGATAACTGGATGTGATAGACAGGAAGCTATGTTTTCCTTGAGTTCCATGCTGGTTGATTCACATGAATAAGGCATACTTATAATCTTAGGTAAATTGATGAACACCATAGGATGATATGATATTAGTTATTACTCAGCCAATATCCATTTTGAATATCTCTGTCTTCCATGAAAGTATCAGTTTCTCTATAAGTACCAAGTTGAGCTTTGACACTAAGTCATATGGATTTGAATCCCACAGGCAACATCAGTTCCCCTAAGAATTGCTAGTGAGCAATATTGATGGTTTTAGACAGCTTACCAGGTTTCTAAGAAAACCAACTCTTACTTTTGTTATACGGTCATTCAGTAAGTAAAAGGCACAAATGTTTAATTAAAGTGTTTGTGTAAAAATAAATTTGTGTGTATCTATTTTACCCCAAATAAAATTGGTTACACTTTTTCTGTTAGAAGACTTTACATTCTCTTACAGTGTAAAGTATTATCAAGATTGAACTATTGCTTCCTATACAACATGTAAACTAGTGTTTACTGAGACCATACTAACCTGTTTTTTTTAAAAACCGCACTGCGACATCTTTAATCAACGAATATACTATCATTAAATTTGGTCGCATTGAGAATAAAGCTCTTTCGACAAAGGTTACCGTATAAAACTTATTCAATTAATTAACTCCCATTTCCTTGCTTATACAAAATACTTCTAAGTAAATGAGATTGGAATTTAGTTAATTTCAACTACCTTCTTTCTTTTCTTTTCTTTTCCACCTTTTAAACTAAACACTGTAGGTTCAAACATCCCTAAAGACAATAAGAGTAATACGAATCTATAAGCCCACTACATTCATGTGTCATAGTGATAGTTAAATCTTTATATTCTGCAAACATCTCCTAATGTCTTTGTAATGGGTAACTATTTCACTCCCGATAACATAGTTTTTAAAAAAAAGACTTTTATTTACATTTCAGTTGAAGTCATTAAGTAAACAAATCGAATCCTTTCCCATAGCTCCAATTAACACCTAGTAACTTTATAGGCTGATATCATTATCATAACCAATTTATTTTCATTTTAATACTCTAATCATGATTAACTATTAAATATTTCCCAGAATAATCAATGTTTGTATCCAATTTTTTTTTAAATAACTAGATGATTTTTCCCTTTCCTCTTTTTTACAGTGGTTGACTGATTATGAATACCTCCACACCTGTAGGGTAGCATGGAATAAAATAAACAGCTTGAAATTAATTAGATAATTTGGACTACGCAGATGACCTAGCCTTTCTATCCCATACGCACGAACAAATACTACTGAATGGAGCTGAAACGTGAAGAACTACTACAACCATCATCAAAATATTACAAGGATTTCTAAACAATTGTCTATGCAAGATACTCAACATCCATTGGCCGGATACCATCAGCAACAGCCTTCTGTGGGAGAGAACAAACCAGCTTTGAGCTGGGGATGAAATTAGGAAAAGTCGGTGGAAATGGATAGGACATACATTACGCAAATCATCAAACTGTATCACGAGGCAATCACTAACTTGGAATCCTGAAGGGAAGTGGAACAAAAGGAAGGCCAAATAACACATTACATCGTGAAATAATAACAGATATGAAAAGGATGAATAACAACTGAAAAGAACTTGAAAGGATTGTCTAGGACAGGGTTGAATGGAGAGTACTAGTGGGAGGCCATTATGCTCATCCACAAGGAATAACAGTCGTAATTAAATAAGTAAATAAATGATTTAAAAAAGTACCAACTACTCTTTACCATCAAAATCATTTTAACCTTCAAAAGAAAATTTTTTTAAATTTTATATTCTCGAAATAAAAATTTTTCTTTTTCTTGCCACACAACTAAATCATACTTGGACTTTTTTATAATAAAATTATAAATAATCTTATTATTAATGATTAAATGTCAAATGAATTTCAATACCCATTACAATTCAACTTAACAGTTCATTTTGAGGTCATCTCTTTATTATTACTTGGCTTGTCTTATCTCTTTCATAAGCATCAACAGACAAATATTAATTTTGACGCCAACTATCAATACTTACAACTATCTATAGTGTTATCAATAAATAATAAACAAAGAGTAACGATAACCATTTTTGTCCGCTTGTTTGCATGATCACCGTAATCACTACTTTTAGATTAATTGAAATTTTGTAATTCGTATCTTATTTAAAAAAAAAAACTTGGATCGTGTTGACAAGAAGCATAAATGAGAAGTGATGATTATAATGATGGTATAAGATAAATATAAAATAAGAAAACTCTCTTTTTAAGCAATCTGTTAATATTGTATGGATTTAAATTCACTTGATGTTGTTTTACTTGTATCTTCCTACTGTTGTTTTAGGACTGCAATTGATCAGTCTCTTATTGGTATATTTGCATCCTGTGCGGATTGCCTCGATATAGTGGAGTGAATATCGACTCTGGGATGTAGGTATATCCAGCTGACGAGTCCCAAAAAGAGGATGAAACGCGCATCAAACTGGATTCCACTGCTAGCCACTATCCATTTTTCTTAAAAAGCTTGTGACTTAAGGCTATATTGAGGCGATGCACATATGTCGACAAGAGACTGATCAATTTCAGTCCTCAATAATAATGGGAATATATAAGTAAAACAACACAAAGTGAATTTAAACTTCACCCCAGTACACAAGCAGGTGGTTATTAGGATTTAGTAGCTAAGTGGATAACTCGATAGCGTTTGAAGTGAACGGTACTGGGTTCAAGTCTAAAGAGTGAACATGAACTCTGTGATGCAGGTACATCCAGCTGACGAGTCCTAAATACGATGGAACGCACGTCGTGGGTTCTACCACTAGCCAATATCCACCTTTAGATCATATTGATTTACTGTATATATCCAACATTTTAGGGATATTTCTCACAATTAATTTGTTTGATAAGCTAATGTAAACTAAAAATAGCAAATATTATTAAAATGATTCACTTGGTGCTGTTTTCCTTGTATCTTCTTATTGTCGTTCTAGCACTGCAATTGATCAGTCTCTTATTGACATATGTGCATCCTATGCGGATTGCTTTGATATAGCCTTAAGTCACAAGCTTTTTAAGTAAAGATGAATAGTGTCTAGCAGTGGAATACAGTTTAACGAGCGTTTCGTCTTCTTTCTGGGACTTGTTAGCTGGATATACCTGCATTTCAGAGTTGATGTAAAATAAATTAACTTCATCTGTTTGCGTTCTCTTAAATTGTCACTATGTAATTTAATGTGAAATATCCTTAAATTAATTTAATTTCAGTGGCAAAAAATAATTACAATGACTTTTAATATTCACATTCAATTCAATTCATAGGGTAACGGAACAAGCAAGAAAGATTGTGATATGATCAATTAGATGAATATTTTTCGGTAGTTAATTTAGTTAACATTTTAATTTCAAAGGGACAACATATATATGGCGGCTGAATGAAGTTCTATGGGTAACCTCAACCACTCGATATAAAATATCGTGCAGTATAATGTTGAGGAAACGTTGAATAGCCACACTCCAAATGTAGTTAATAATAAATATCCAGTTAAGGCTGAGGGCTAGGTAAACAATACTCTGACTGATTAATCAACATATATAATGTCATACGAATAATAATATTATGTAAGAAATATATACTTCAATTGTATATGTTGTATAAATCGTGGACAATTACCCAAATGAAAAATATCTCAATAAAATTTTTCACAGTAATCGTCATTAAAACTTTGGAATTGAATTTTAACAGCTTCATGGTTGATTTATTTCCTTGGTAGATGCTTTAAAATACCAAGTTATAACCTATTATTAAGCTAAGATAAAAATTCTATGTAAACATGTTTGTTCAGTCAAACAGTATTCAACTCAATTCCTGGAAGTAGTAATTGGCATCACTACCAAATAATTGACTAATAACGTTAGCTTACTTACGCCTGTTACTCCTCGTGAAGGAGCATAGGCCGCTCACAAGCATTCTCCATCCAATCCTGTCCTAGACAATCCTTTCAAGTTCTTTTCAGTTGTTATTCATCCTTTTCATATCTGTTATTATTTCCCAACGTAATGTGTTATTTGACCTTCCTCTTTTCCTCTTACCTTCAGGATTCCAAGTTAGTGATTGCCTCGTGATGCAGTTTGATGATTTGCGTAATGTATGTCCTATCCATTTCCATCGACTTCTCCTAATTTCTTCTTCAGCTGGAATCTGGTTTGTTCTCTCCCACAAAAGGCTGTTGCTGATGATATCCAGCAGATGGGTGTTGAGTATATTACGTAAACAGCTATTTATAAATACTTGTACCTTTTTGATGATGGTTGTAGTAGTTCTCCAAGTTTCTGCTCCATACAGTAGAACTGACTGTCTTGACGTTCTTATTGAAGATTCTCACTTTGATATTGGTTGAAAGTTGTTTTGAGTTCCATATGTTCTTCAGTTGTAGGAATGTGACCCTTGCTTTGAGAATCTTTGACTTTACGTTTGCATCTGAACCTCCTTGTTCATCGATGATGCTTCCCAGGTATGTGAAGGATTCTACATCTTCCCGTAGAAAACTAACTCGCTAAAATACGCTAACCAGATAATACTAGCTAACATGACAATAAATCTTCACATAATCAAAATGTAGAACCTTGAAACAATTTGATGGGAATTAAATGGAAATTTCAATTATTTATCTGCAATCATTTTCTTATAATCTGCATTGCGGATTGAGTTTGTTAGAAAACTATTAAAAACCACGAAGCGCTCGACACCTATTTCGTTCTAACTGTGCACATACAAAACCCTGCCAGGGATAAAATCTAGGAAATTCAAGTCTCTCAGCGAGCCCTTCACTTTCGAATAATTGAGCTGTAGGTAAGCTGGTGAGGTCTATTCTAATATCGAAACAGTTGTCTGAAACTTCATATTTTTCAATGATTTCTTATGTAAGACCATTCTATGATCCTAACTATGAAATCCATCAATATCCGCAAACCGGCTATGTAGTAGAAATACTAGTAGTTAATTATTATCTAGAATTTTCAAAGAATTTTTGGCTTTAAATAAAATGAATAATGTAACTAACGAATAATTTTGAACCAACTGATTTTCAAAGGTTTGTAAACTTAAGCATATGATTGTTAACTTAAAGGTCTATAGAAGAACTGCTTGTTCGTTGGAATATAACTTGTCTTCTTGAATATACAATCCTACATCTTAGGATTCCACTGCTAGCAACAGTCCAAGGGTGGTGCACTACATGAAATTATTGAATTCCTTTCTTTTTCTCCTTTTTTCTAATGACTTACTATCTAAAAAAGACATTTTATCTAAGCATGTTCACGACCCTGTAAGTTACCGTGAAATATATAATTTCCTAATGTTCATTACACGACGATCCAAATTAGTGATAGGACATCTAATTCCCATAACTGCCAAACTGTCAACTTTACCTGAGACGTAAAACGTAATTAAATTACAGTCGAATTCACATGAAATCTGTATTGCTGGATATTTTTTGTAACAATCAAATCAAATGTCTCTTATCTTGGTGTAGTTTTTTCTTCGCATTGTTCTTGACTCACTATTGTCCTGTGAAAATCGAAGAACGTTTTTCGTCTAACTAATTATATCGAATTGCAAATATTTTTGGGATTACTGAATTTGTGAGTTCTTGTATAATACTCCATCATACTTTGTTGGAATTTTGAGTTGCTGTTATTAAGGCTAAGTGTTGAGCCATTTGATGTCATTACCAATATGATCGTGAATAAACACTTAGAAT